ATTAATACAAAAAATAATGGTAATATGTAATAAAAAAATTCGTAAATTGTGCGTGGCAAAGTCATTTCGCTCCTAAAAATGAACCAATCCATATTTTCACATGAAACAAAAAACATAATACTTAGTTGCAACCGTAAAATAAGGTTTTACGAAATTTTGCTAACGGAATTATTCCACAGGGTGTTTCAAAGTTAGGATAAAAAAGTACCTTTCGATTAACCCCATATAATAAGTCAAATACAAAATTTTATTAAAAAACTCACTATAGTAAATTAAAATTTATATATTTTTACACAGTGTGCTAAAAAAGTCTTCAAAGTGGGGCTAAAAATAAAAAAAACTGAAATACTTTGAATTTGACCAAAATTTTCTCCGTTGCTTTTTTCGCATCTGAGTGTAATTCAATCATAACATTATTCCAGCTATTTATAAAAAGTACATATTGAACTAAATATATAAAAATATTTAGCTAAAAATGTTAAAAAGCGTAGTGTTTTTATCGTTTCAAATTTTGTTTTCTTTTTTCTTTCTCCTGAAAAATATAGTTTTTGACTTAGTTGCCTTTTCCCCTTATTCAATTTTTTATAACGAGGAAGAAGAACAAGAATATAGTAAAATATTTAAATATCTATTAAAATTAACAATTTATTATCTAGGTGTGGAATTAACGGATGTTTGTGAGACTGTCTATAATACTCTTGATATTTTCTTATTGTATTGTACAAATTTTCTACTCCTTTTATATTCCTTTATGTTATCTTTCACCTTAAAAATTCGTAAGTATTGTATAGATATTGCTGATTAATTGCTTATTATATTTTTTGATATTAAAAAAAATTTTAATCCGAGACTAGTTTTTGATATGCACTCTGGAACAATAGCTCTCTTTATCTATCAGATAATAATGCATTTGGTTCGACATATTATTATTATTAGTTCATTGTGAAAACGCAGGTTGGCTGTATTGATTATTCTATTAGAAGATGTAGAAAAATCTAATTTTTTATTTTCGTGCAACGGTATACTTGTGTAAAAACGGAGAACTTTTATGAAGGTATGTCAGACAGTGATTAATTCAAATTGATCGTGATCGAATCTTGTACTCATACACAGATATGTCAAATTAAAATTAGCTCACCTCTACGAAAAATCCAATCTCTTTATTCATTAATAAAACCAAAAGTCACCAAATTATACAGTAAACGTCTGCAAAATCACAAAATTTTTACGTTGCACACATTATCATTTTTTGGAAATGTCTACGTTACTGCTACCACCTTAAAGTGCCCCCCACTATTTGAGAATATTTTTGTATTGTTTGATATGCCAATGAGGATCAGATGTAGATAATTTTGCTAAACCTTGGTAGTTTTATCTTTCTTTCGTAATATTGCAAATTAATATCTTAATAAGGATCATGTCACTTTTGTCATGCCAAATTTTGATTAGTTTCTGATATAGGGAAGTACAAAGAAATTTACCTTGTTGGTATGTGAATTAAACATACATTTAACATATGTTGCTGTTCGGGTAGGAATTTACACTAATTTTTCTGCCAGCAGTCGCTTTAGGTGAGTTAGGAAGTACTAATCTCTATTTCGTTTTGCGTGTATCAAAAAAGCTGAGAGGGCTTTCAGTCCTTATATCATAAATGATACTGAATGTTTAAAAAGTAAATTTAAAGATAAGTTGTCAGTTTTTTAAAATACTTAATAAGAAATTTTTATAGAAATAAACAGTTTTAAGTATAGAGAAATATTGCAGTTTTTTATTATAAATATATCGCTCATCGGCAGCAATAGTGGCATAAATGAAAATTGATAGTTTTATAGAAAATGAGGAATAAGTTTTACTGGAGGTAAAATTAATTTCTTAGAAATCCAAATAAGTTTATCATCATTATCAGTAGCTTGACAAGGCTTTCCGGATTTTTCCAGTTGGTAATCTTAAGTGTTTTCAGATCTTGTTCCATGTATCTAGGTTTGGGTCTTCCCTTTGACCTTCTCTCTACTGGTGTTTGCCTCATTATATGAGGCAAATCAATAACAATAATAATCAAGTTCAGCCCGCGCAACGGCCATCGCACACTGAATTTTATGCCGATATTGCAGCGACATAATATTGAATTTCAGAAAATGCTATAGAGACACTATTGCCACCTAGCCGTCACAATGTGACTTATTTGTTAGCCGGTGTTGCCGCAATATAGTGTCTGTTATTTTAACCTTTTTGCATATTTTGATTTATGCCACTATTACTGCCGGTGAACAATATAATTGCATAATAAGTCTTAATATATAATTTTTTTAAGACATCGTCCTCATCCTTTTCGTTTCTTGCATTTACATGATTATTTGCTCATTCATTTTCACATAATTTTGTAAGATGGTATGACCAAATGATCTTCAGAAATCAGTTTCTTCCACTTTTTCCGGTCCTTTACTTGTTCTATCCAGTCCCACGTTCCCATTTCTTCTATGTTAGTCAGGACGGCGTCAAACCACTTACTTCATGGTCTCCCACTTCTTCTCTTCCCTTGTTCTACTGCTTGTAGAACTCTTAGGACGTTGTTTAAGTTTCACATGCATAAAACACAGACAACTAGTTGTCTTCTATTATTTCTAGTTGTTTTTCCAGTAATGTTCTCGTCTTTTGCCAACATAATATTTTAGCTCCTCTGCTTTTGGTTTTATAATGCACTTTAGTTTTTTCTCTATTACTTCTAATATTTCACATTTTTTCTATAGATGTAGCCCCTCATCATTAAAACAGAAATTCGCTCCTTTTCATAAAAAATGATCTCTATTGTAGAGCATTTCAAAACAAATAAAACAACTGTCAGCTTTAGCTATTAATGCAATTTATTCTAATCATGAATGTGTTGCTTGTGTGAGTCCATTTCAAATAGATAAAGAAATAATAAATAAGACTTACTCACAATCAATTTAATTTAACTATCAGACGACCGGTTTCGCTTTCTACAATATGCAAAGCATCTTCAGGTCTCGATACAAAGTTAAATAAATGCTGAAATGATAAAAAACCCATATTAGGGTGTTGTCTAATAAAGATAAACAAATTAGATGTTGTAAATTACAATAATTATGCCAATATTACATGTCTGTGGTTTTATTTCAAAATGAGTAAGTTGAATAAAAAGGTATAAAAAGTTTTAAAAGTTTAAACAGACAAGGTAAGGCCCACAAATTGTTATAAAATAGTCTATTAGATTGTAATAAATTAATAAATGAGCAAATAAATAAACATTACTTACATGCCGGTACTCTATTAATTGATGGATGGTAGAACATGGTTGAAACTACTATGTATTGTTGAATGGAGAACTCAATTCTGCTATTGTAATTGCTTGACAGTAAGCGGGAAGTTCTTGAGGAGATAGATTTGATCCAATGAAGCAGAGATATGTGTGTGATTGTTTGTTAAATGAAAGTGATGTTATATACCATTGTATTATTTAAAAGTTATTTAAACTTATTCGAGAGATATATTTATGAAATGTATGTTATTTATTGAGTAATTGTTTTATGAAGGTGACAGTTTTATGACAATGAATAAGTTTAGATGTACAAATTGTGTATGTGTGCAATTACTTTTCAACTTGTAATTATCAAATTTCTTTGATAAAGTTCTATTGGCAAAATAGTAGATTATTGCAAAGTCAAGTAAATAAAATATTAGAATTAAAACAACTAAGGACAATTTAAAACACACTAAAACAGAAAATACTTACGAAAGTACGAAACAAACATTACATTTAAAAGGGGGAAGGACTTTTATGCACTACATCTCAGTCTTGGGCATAATGAGTTTTTTTATGTGTAATCTATTAGATTTTAGTGGTAAATTTGACAGATGTAGGTTAGCATGTGACAGTTCTTCTGAAACAGAAGATTTTATACCTTTTTATTCAACTTACTCATTTTGAAATAAAACCACAGACATGTAATATTGGCATAATTATTGTAATTTACAACATCTAATTTGTTTATCTTTATTAGACAACACCCTAATATGGGTTTTTATCATTTCAGCATTTATTTAACTTTGTATCGAGACCTGAAGATGCTTTGCATATTGTAGAAAGCGAAACCGGTCGTCTGATAATTAAATTAAATTGATTGTGAGTAAGTTTATTTATTATTTCTTTACCTATTTGCAATTTATTCTACAAAACTTTTGAATAAACGTCAAGCTATTATTACGTTTATATTTATTGAATTACTTCAAAACTATTTGGTACTGAGAAGTTTTATTTATTTAAGACTTGCATGGCTAGATGAAATAACAAGTCTTACATATGGTTGAACTCGTATTGAAGTAAGGATTCCAATAATAATACAATACACAGAGTGTTGTATTTAAAAAACCAAAGTGTCTAATGATATCAGGAAAATGGTAAATCTGACAACATTGCATCAAATTTGAAGTCTCCACCATATTGCAGAATAGGTGTATCCGGATTTTGTTAATTCCGACCATCCATTTAAGAGATAATTAGGCATTTCCAGATTTTTGGTCCACTTTGTTATTTTGCTTATCGATCTCTAATATTCTATAGTTACAGGTGCAAAGATTTTCTGTAATTTTTGTAAGTTCTGTAAGTTCTTTGTGTGTTTTCAATTATATTGCTCCTCACTGTTTTCTGTTTGTTTTTTTTTTGTAGAATCTTTTATGCATTTTTGACCAAACGAAAGTTATCTTCTTTGAGCTTGAGGTTCCTTTGATTTACTGAGAGGAGAACAATTTTTTTGCCTACGTCTAGATAATTTTTATTCGTTATTATTATTTCTTATAAACAATTTTTATTATTTTCTTATGACATCTCGAGAATTCCATGTTGCTTCAGAACGATCTTAAGACTTTGTAGCGAAACTCTTTCTATTAAATGATTCTTCAATAATATCTATAATCCTTCATAATCTATGATTAACTGTATATTCGGCAACTTTTCAGATGATGCTGTCCCCATTGTTATCGCCATGGGAACTCCAGGCGATAAAGCAGGCAGCAAAGAGGTAGTTAAAACAGAATCGGAAGAGCCCGCACCCCGACCGCCAGACCCTCAATCACAATTACTACTTTTTCCACCACCGTCACCGTCATCCACGTCAAGTTTTTCATTGCAACAGACCATATCTTCACCAGGACCACCTTCGTCTTCGGATATGGGCGTCATCAACATATTACCACATTTCAGGACTATAGCTAGTTCTCCGCCTCAGCATGTGGGAACTAAACCAGAAGCTTTAAGACAGGCTGAGTTAGAGCAATCGACCATAGGTAAGTTCTTTATTGCTTTATTTTTTTTCTAATTGCATAAATGGTTATTAAACTATCAATAAATCATTTTCAACTCAAAACTTGTAAAAAGTTTGAATTAATATTTCACTCTTATAAAAACTTTACATGAATGCCCAGGATGGGGGAATCTATAGGACTTTTCAGCTCTGCATAAACCGCTCAGAAAGAAATACAGTCTACTGTCTTTGAAGGACACGATCTCTTCGGATTAATGCAACACACAGTAATTCGTGCGCCGGTTTCTCGGAAGATCACTTCTAGCATGCTTCTAACAATCTTCCAATCCAGATTTTTTAGTGCATGGCCTATCTTGGGTAAGGCCAAATTCGTGATGTCATAATTGCACACGATTTTCTTCAAATTAGTTAGAGCACGCCATATATCCTCGTAGCTTGTCTTGTCTGTATACGACTTCCTGGTCACCATATACAGCAAAGTCGAGGACCATCTTCTAATCTTAGTACTCTTCCAACTGTTCCAACTTCTTATACAGGGTGTTTCAAAAAAAGGTAACCCCGTCTCTAGGGTAGGTAAAACACTGAAAAATAATTGGGGTTTGCTTAGTAAAAAATGTTTGTAACGCCATCCGTTTTCAAGATACAGGGCGTTAAAGTAAAAAAAAATTTACGTATTTTTTACGATTTTGCCGAAACTACTGGCAACATTGTAAGGAAATTTTATACGAATATGTTTTGGAAGCTGATACATACCATGAATTTGTTTTTATATCTTATTCTCATAGAGGGCGCTAGTTACACGGATCGTACTAAGTATTATTCAATATAACTTTTTTAAGAGTATAATTATTAATCAAAATTTCAAGTAAACTTAAACATCATTCAATTTTACACGAAAAAGGTACTCTTGGTAAAACTCGATACTGTGTACAGTTTTCGAAATATTTTGATTTGAAAATTATGAAGTAATAATTGATGCTGGTATAAAATAGTTAGTAATTAAACAAAATTCACAAGAAGAAAATTAAATTAATGAAGAAGAACATAAAATAAAATTCAGTTACAGTAAGTGTTCAAAATGCCCTCCGTTTTCGCGAATATACAAGTCTATTCTTTTTTCTAAAGATTCCATTAACCTTCTAAACGGTAAAGGATCATCTATGATGTCATTAAATTGACGTTGAATTCTTTCTTCCAATTCTTGGCGTGAATTTACCTCTGTAGCATAGACTTTTTCCTTAATATACGAACAAACTGCGTAGTCCGAGTTAAACATACCTTGTCGCGTAAAAGTGGCCTCGTCCGTAAAAAGAATGCATTTTAAAAAATTTGGATTGTGGACTGTCCTTTGTTGCAATGTTTCACAAAAATCCACTCTAACCGGTAGATCATCTGGCAAGAGCTCTTGGACTTGTCTGTAATGATAAGGATGTAATTACTGTTCTTTCAGTATCCGATAAGTACTTGAAGAAGAAGTATTTGTTTGTCTTACTATATTCCTTTCGCTAACTGTTGGATCTTGGTCAAGTAAATTTAAAATATTATTTTCTTTATTAATTGTTCTTGTTGTTCTTGGTCTACCAAAATTTATTTTATTTGGTCTCACATTCCCAGTTTCTCGACAACATCGTTCAACGGCTCTAAATGTTTTTTTACTTGGTAACTTTTCTGCTTAACGTGTCACAACTGCACTAGAACATTCGCCTAAGGTTAATAACATGTCAGTGTATTCAACATTTGGATACATTCTGATTTGATTTTACAAATAACAAGGTTGCAAAACTCCAATTATTGTTGATTTATCGTCATAATAATCAATAAATGTCAAATTTCTATGGCACACTTGGAGAAAATAGAGGTATTTCTATTAGAACTTTATGATTACTACCAGCATCAATTATTACTTCATAATTTTTAAATCAAAATATTCCGAAAACGGTACACAGTATCGAGTTTTACCAAGAGTACCTTTTTCGTGTAAAATTGAATGATGTTTAAGTTTACTTGAAATTTTGATTAATAATTATACTCTTAAAAAAGTTATAATGACTAATACTTAGTATGATCCGTGTAACTAGCGCCCTCTATGAGAATAAGATATAAAAACAAATTCATGGTATGTATCAGCTTCCAAAACATATTCGTATAAAATTTCATTACAATGTTGCCAGTAGTTTCGGCAAAATCGTAAGAAATGCGTAATTTTTTTTTTTTCTTCAACGCCCTGTATCTTGAAAACGGATGGCGTTACAAAAATTTTTTACTAAGCCAACCCCAATTATTTTTCAGTTTTTTACCTACCCTAGAGACGGGGTTACCTTTTTTTGAAACACCCTGTAGAATACGGAGACGTTATGTGGAACTTCTTTGGTCACGCAGAATCTACCACTCTTCTCTCTGCGTAATTTGGCATAAATTCATTAAAGCTTGGTTGCCGGTTATCTTTGATCTCATGTTGAAGGGTTCTTGCTTCTTTTGTTTCATTTGAGCCTAAGGTGCAAGACGATTTATGTGAACTACTTTTGGTTTACCTTTCGGCAAATTCCTAATTTGGTATATTACGTCATTTATTATCTTTTTAATTTCATACGGACCTTCCATTGTCTTTGTAGTTTAGGAGACAAGCCTCGACGACATTGAGGATTATAAAGCCAAACAAGATCACCTACTTCATAGCTTTCATTCTGTCACTGGCTACTTCAGTCGGTCAACATATTCTTCGCTTGCAACATGGTCTTCGGAAGGTCTGCAGCCAAACTCTAGGTCGCAGGGCAAAACATCAGGTAGGTTGAAGTCTGACCTGTAGTTTCATTCACGGTCGAGCGGTAGGCCATTAGGAATAAATGAATGTGCTAGTCCCAATCTTTTTGATGTTCCGATACAACTTTGGACAGGTGTTTACCCATAGTTCGGTTCATCCTCGCGACCATTCCATCTGATTAGGGATGCAGGGGTGTCGTTCTGGTCTTATTGACATCAACCAATTTACAAACGTTTTCGAAAAGGGTTGACTCGAAGTTTCGCCCTTGGTTGGAGTGAATCTCCAAGGGAACAACAATTCGGCTAAAGAATTCTTTAACAAGTACCTCTTCAACGGTAGCAGCTTCTTGATTTGGTATCGCATAGGTATCAGTCCATTTCGTAAAAGAATTCATGGCTACCAGAAGATATTTATTTTCATCATACGTTTCTGGAAATGGACCTTCAATGTCGTTTGCTACTCTTTCCATAGGACTACCAACATTTTACTGTTGTTCTGGAAATCGAAAGTCAAAAATATAGGTACTTATTTTAAACTTAAATTGTGGCTTATTCCCATTAACAGTAGCAATTGATTAATATTCCACAAGAAAATAGCTTCAAAACAATATCTTAATAAATATGTAGTTGCAGTATTTTTAATATATTTATGGATTAAAATCTGATTTTGTATCATAATATTAATAATGATAACAAACAAGAATTTTTGATTTCGACACTTCTTAGAACCAAAATATTATCTATGTGAAATACATATTTGACATATGCGAACATTCAAATCGTAAATGATTTTTGGAATTCATAAGATTAAATAAAATATCGCTACAATATTGACGATAAAATAATAATGGAATTTTTTCATAAAATAGGATAAAATATATTGGTTAGGCGAATGGATCTCCTAAGTCGTAGTCATATTTCCAACCACACCCACACGCATACTATAAAATATGGAAAAAAATTCAAACGTCACCTAAGGGTTTGATTAGAATCGAAAACTTCTTAACAAAAATCTGATAAAAATATAAAACAAAAGTAATAATCTCTTCAGTTTTCATCTTTTATTGTCTATCATAACTATTTTCATCCAATCCAATTCTCTTGTAGAATTTTTCCTCGGTGATTTCCTGTAGAAAATTTTGTTTTGGTGTTATTTTCATTCTTATCTTTGGTAGTACTAGTTTGTATTCACTCCCTGCGTCTGTTGAGTTTAAAGTTAGGATATCTAGAATTTGCTTTGAGTGGATTTTTTTATTAGTGACTATAAAATCAATAATAGATTTGTGTCCCCTGGAGTTTTCAAATGTATATTTATACTGGAGTTTATGGCCGAAAAATGTATTATTGATTTTCAGTTTGTTAAAGGCACAGGGATTAGCCATGAGTTCTCCATTTGCGTTGACATAGTTTTCAATAAATCTTTGTGTTACTCCTGGAATTCTTTAATTTCCGATTTGTGCACTAAAGTCACCCATACGAAGTAAGGGCTCTTCATGAGGTATTTCATCCAGGTTGGTTTGCAATTATTCGTAGAATGCCTCTCGTTCCTCCTTAGGTTTGCAATCCTTGGGGCTATAGATAGATATGACATTTAATTTTTGGTAGTCCATTGTGATGTTCATATGTATTATTCTTTCGAAGATATAACGGCAGTTATTTATGTTGTCTTTAAATTTTTTATGGACAAGTATACCTAAATATTGGTAAATATTGGTTATATTCTCTTTGGCCTTTACCTTTCTTCTTGGTTTCTTGGATTGCACAAATGTCTACGCTTTTATTTATCAGTTCTTCTATTATCTCTTGGTCTTTGTTGTTGAAAGAAGTAATGTTCTATGCTGCTAATTTGATTGTGGGCTTATTTTTCCTTCTCGTTTTCCTTTTCTTTGCGTGGTTCATCATCTTAGGTTCCATCTGGTTCTGAGTCTTTATATCGGTTCTTTGAGCCTTGTTTTTTTTACAATGGGTAGGATGCTAACCTGGCCCATCAACCCTCCTCTTTTATCCGGACTTGAGACCGGCTGTGGGCATGAACGCAGCTTCTGAGCTACTAAATCCACCCAATCATCGTGCTCATAACCCCCAGGCAGAGTTTTTGTAATTTTCCTCCACTAAATGTGGAAACTTCTTCTTAAGGTGTCGTTTTTTTTTTCGAAAGTTGGCAATCATGATAACTATTTGAACTCTTAACTCTGTTTACTGCTGCTCTAAAACGATGTTTAGACGAGCAATTAAATAAATCTCTAAGATGGCGCAGTCATGAAATTCATCTCCTTCTAACGCTACGCTTTCCTAATATTTTGCCCTGCATTATATTCTTCAGAAGCTGGTATTTTGTTTCTCTTAGCACTTGGTGAATACATTGTAGTTTGTTCAGGCTTCCTCTGTTGGAGATATGGATTTCCACCTGGGTATCCTACTGCATTTTGATTTTTCATTCTGCTTCTTATGTTTCTGTTCAGATTATACTAATATATTGGATATCTATCTCTATCTATACAGCCCTTAACATCCATCCTTGGATATAGGCCTCCTCCTCCTTCTTCCATGCCTCTCTATCTTGGGCAATTTGCATCCATTTTAACCCGGCGTGTTTCTTCAGGTCATCTGACCATCGCATTTGTGGCCTTCCCCTTTTACGTTTGTGATTCCATGGTCTCCAATGTATAATTGTTTTAGTCCATCTTTCATCTTTCTGCCTTAGGGTGTGTCCGGCGAACTGCCATTTAAGCTTTGCTACTTGGGTTGAGACATCTTTCACTTTTGTTTTATTACGGATCCATTCGTTTCTTTTTTTGTCTGATAGTTTAATGTTCAGCATTTGTCTTTCCATGGATCTTTCTGTCTTTGCTATTTTTTCCATATTTTCCTTTGTAAACGTCCATGTCTGAGAGCCATATGTGAGGACAGGGAGTATACATTGATTGAAGACTCTCGTTTTTAAGTATTGGGGGTATTTTGAATTCTTTAGAATATAAGACAGTTTTCCGAATGATGCCCAGGCCAATCTTATTCTTCTCTTTATTTCTTCGGTCTGATTTTCTTTATTTAATTTAGTGATTTGGCCTAGATATATATATACTCTTTTACTTGTTCTATTTTTGTTTGTGCCACTGTAATTATAAGTTCTTCTGGTTGATTAGTCATGGTTTTTGTTTTACTATAATTCATCTTGAGTCCAATTTTTGTCGATTCTCTATCTAGTTCTTCCATCATTCTTTGTAATTCTTCACTTTTTTCTGTTATTAATACAATATCATCAGCATATCGTAGATGATTCAGATTTTGCCCGTTTATATTAATTCCCAAGTCATCCCAGTGTAGTCATTTAAAAACATCTTCTAGCGCTTGGTTAAATAACTTGGGCGAGATGGTATCTCCTTGTCTTACTCCTCGGTTTATTTTAATAGGCTCCGTTTGTTTCATTAGCTTAATAGTTGTTGTTGCCTTGTTGTATATATTTGTAATTAAGTCGGTATATCGGTAGTCTATTCTGCTGTTTTGTAGGGAATTCTGTACTGCCCAGTGTTCCACACTATCAAATGCCTTCTCAAAGTCAATAAATGCCATGCATAGCGGGATATGATATTCGTTAGTTTTTTCGATTAAAATCTTCATCGTTAAAAGGTGGTCACTTGTACTGAAGCTCTTTCTAAATCCGGCTTGTTCTCTTGCCTGGTATCCATCTAATTTAGTTGTTAATCTATTTGTTAATATTTTGGTTAATAGTTTGTACATCACATTTAATAAAGTTATGGCTCTGTAATTCTTTAGATCCTTTTTATCTCCTTTCTTAAATAGTAACAGTGTTATTGCTTCGTTCCAACTGTTGGGTATTTGTTTTGTCAATAAAGTTTTATTCATAAGTATGTACAAAACTTCTCTAGTTGTTTTCCCACCATGTTTTAGCATTTCTACAGTCACCCCGTCTTTTCCTGGCGATTTATTGTTCTTCATCTCTTTGAGTGCTCTTCTTATCTCGTTCTTACTGATCTCTGGTTGTAAGTCGGAATTAACATTTTTTATTTTTATTTGTAGTTGCTTAAGGATTTCTTGGGTTGGTTTCTGTTTTGTATTGTAGAGGTTTTTATAATATTCTTGTGTTATCTGTATAATTTCTTCTACATTATTGGTCTCTGTACCTTCTTTGTTCTTTATACTATTAATTTGTATGGTTCCAAGCTGTGGTTTTAAGCACTTCATGTTTTTATTTTGTTCAATTGCTTTTTCTATTTTTTCTTCCTGTACTCTCCTTTTATAATCCTTGATATTCCTTCTGATAGCTTTGTTTACCTCTTTGTAATCTACTGTGTTTCTCTTATCTTGTTCCAGTAATGTTTTTCTTTTACTCATGAGATTTTTTGTTTCCTGGGATACATAGTTTTCCTTTTTTATTCTTGTTTGTGCTACCTCTTTTCCCGCCTTTGCTAATGTATCGGTTAATAGCTGATTTATTTCATCGATATTTTTGTTTTCCAAATCTCTAGTGACCGGTATACTTTCCTTTTTTTTTTTGTTTATATTCGTCTTTTGATTGCTTAAGTTTTTCCATATCTAGTTTCGATACATTTTCTATTTTCTTTTTTGTTTCGAATTGGCTATTAAACCTGAGTTTGGCTCTGACAAGTCTATGATCGCTACCGGTTGAGAAGCGGTTCAGTACTGTAACATCTTTGATGATGGTTTTTGATGATATTGGATATACTGACGATATATTGGAAAACGTGAATTGTGAATTTAAGGTACCTTAAGCTAAAACCTAATTGACAATTTCTTATTTTAGAACGTTTCTATGGCCAAACCAAATATTATCCAGACTATCAACAGCCATCAACAAGTTACTCTACAACGTCGAAGTCGAAAACATTCCTTAGTAGTTCGGAACAACCGGGTCCTTCTGGCTTGCAGACGCCTAAATCCAAACCTTCCGCTTCCTCTGCTAGTCCAGGTAGACTGAAACGGCTGAGAAAGACAGCTCAAGAACAACAAGGAACACCACAATCAAGAAAAACGTACCAGTGTTCTTATTCGCACTGTAATAAGATATGCAGTAGTTCTGAAAAATTGGAGAAACATGAACAAACGCATACGGGTAAGTTAACACTGATCGTTAAAATATTTAAAAGTGTAAAAAATTAGAGCGTAATGTTGAACGTATTCCAGAAACATATATCGATGAAATAGTATTTATTTCTATCTACCCGTGAAGAAAGATATTTCAGATTTCAATGCACTTCTTTATACCTATAAATTCTTTAAACTATATACACTATGTTAAATCGTTTGATTGCAGTGTTTAACTAATCGACACATGCCTTATTAGATCTCTTGTTAACAACAACGGTCAACAGTCCGAGTTTGAAACCGTTCCGTTAGCCGTTGCTCGGTGTCTATTAGGATCGTATGAATGTTTGTTCACGCACCTGCAACTAATCCCTTGGTTAACTTGTCACCGTCTACGTATCCGGTCCTCCTCGACAAGAAGTTTGTCGGACAGGTGCAGTGAACCACTTTAGTTTATGCAAGTGTGTTGAAGGCGATGAACGAGCATCCGTTACTTCAATAAATATCTTTCTTTGTTGCGTATAAAATAAGGATTTTGATATGGAGACTTTAATAGGTGCGTAGAAAATCGACACCTGTGTTGTGGGAACTGAATCACCTGTCAGAGATTATTCTGCTGTACACAAAAAAAGAGAAAGAAGACAGAAACTATAGATGAAATTTTGGCAACAAAGATACACAATATGCTGGATTCTTCCAATCGTGAAACAGTAGTCCAGTCATGTGTTTCTTCAAGGAATTGCACCTACTGTTGAAAAGTTCAGTGATGCGGAATTAATAAATTTTCAATTCGAGGTAAGTTCATCTCTAAGAAATATACAATAGAGAAATATGCTTATGGCGCAGCATATTCCGCAGCTCCAAAGCTACCAGCCGCAGTCCCAGAACTTTGAAAGGAGTACGTCATATCAAACACAAGCATATCTCTTTTAACAGGATAGAAACCTTACATTTGAGCCATATTGGAGTACACCCTCAACTTTAACTGCAAATTTCAGTCAATTGAGTAAATCACAAACACCAGCACCAAAATCATCTCCTTCACTTGCAGAACAATCTTCAATATAAGGCCAGTTGTCCGTTACTGTGGCGCACCCAGGCGGGGGTTATCCAGGGCATGAGCTCTATGAGAGAAGAGAGCATTTTACAACAGCTATAAAAAAAGAAAGGGAAAGATCAATGGAAAGATAGCAAGAAGAGTGGAACAACAAGGAAGATGTTGCCCAGTGGACCAAGATGCCGAGCCCAAGGGACTGGGTAGATTGTCTGTTTTAGGGCGTATCTTCATAGGTTCAGAAAGACAGATACAGATAAATGCCTACAGATAAATACAGATAGAATAGGACAAAATGTAACAATAGACCCCTATAACTTTGAAAGAGTGGAGAGTTTTAAATATCTCGGAGCGACTATCACCACAGATAACGATATCACGGAAGAGGTAAAAGGGAGAATTCAGGCAGCAAACAGATGTATGTATAGCCTCTACAACACTATTAAATCCAAGAGCCTAACACGAACATCAAAAATCAGGATATATAAAACAGTAATTAGACCGGTGCTCATGTATGGGTGTGAGACGTGGACGCTGACAAAAGCGATGGAAAGTAAACTCAGATGCTTTGAGAGAAAAATCCTTAGAAAGATCTTCGGTCCCTATCACGATCCGAATACTAACCAATACCGAATGAGAACAAATGCCGAGGTCAAACAAATGTATAGTGCTAGCGACGTAGTCCAAGAGATTAAATCCCAACGTCTAAGATGGGCTGGCCATGTTCATAGGCTCCCTGATAACCGCCTTACCAAGTTAATCTGGGAAGAAGCCCCGACAGGGAGAAGGCCCTTAGGACGTCCACGAATGCGATGGAGAGAATATATGGTCAGATTTGAGAACAATGGGGCTACCCACTGACTTAAACATCATGGACGACCGTTCGAGATGGAAGCAGGTTGTGCAGTCAGCCAAGACCCACCCCGGCTTGTAGTGCTACCAGAAGAAGAACAAGAAGATAAATGCCTATACTGCGAACATTCAGACACTCACACAATGCTGGAGTGTAATAGATGTTCAGTGGAGAGAAACAGAATGGTATAAAGAAATAGGTATGAACTCTGTGACTGTAAGAGAGATGATTGTGAACATGACGGGAAGTACGAAGGGATGGAATAGTGTTCACAATTACATCCGAGAAATCATTAAAAAGATAAAAGAAGAAGATAAACACCAACCGGGCCAACGACAGAGATAAGATCTAATTACTATTTTAATGGGAATAAACCGCAATTGAAGCTTAAAATAAGTTTATTGACATTTGAATCTTTCATCTTGCACTGATAACTTGTTTATACTCCAACAATTAATAGAAAAAAGAATAACCGTTGGTACAGAAGTATATCTAGCCTTCATCGACCTAGAAAAGACGTATGACACAGTTCCAAGACTTATATTGTGGCAAGCTTTACAACAACTCGACATTAGTCCATACCTTTTAGGAATAATCACAGAAGTATACAGGAATAACACTACTTACCTAAAAATCGGAAATAGACTATCAGAGCCAATAAAAGTAACTAAAGGACTGAAACAAGGATGCAGTATGTCACCCTTACTATTTCATTTATATATCGAGGCAGCCCTCTAAAATTGGAAAAACCACTGCCGGAGAATGGGAATCCCCAACAGCTAGTCGCTCAGCAGGTGGAATGGATAGCCTCATATTAGTGTCAGCTCGTTTTAATTTATCATCTACTATTCCTAACAATTTGCGGAAAGTTTCTTGGTTCGTTCGGAAACAATTCAAGAATTTTTTTACGCTTCTCCCGTTTCGTCTGTTTTTTTTATACAAATAATACGCCAGTCTACCTTTTTGCTTTGACGACAACATGATATAACATGTATTGCGTGCATTTGTTACTTACTTCTTACTTTTTTTTTTTACTTAATTAGATGGCTTTGGTAAAGACCAATTAGCCAGACGATTTTTTTTTAACTATAATAATTTAAAAAAGAAAACTCATCCTTCTTCACAATAACAATGCTTAAAGTTAAGTGTGAGCAGTGTAATTTGTGTTTTTTTTTTCTATGTAGAATTTAGTTTTGTTTTTAAATATAATATATTTTTATTTTCATTTTTTTTGCTTTGTTTTGTTTTTATTTTTGTTTGTTTTTTTTATTGTTTTTTTTACATGCACTATTTTTTTTTTTAATTTTTTTTTTTTTTTTTAATTTTTTCGTCGCTCACTTACAAAATCTAACTAGTTGCAGGATTGCTAACAAAGAGGTGGTTAGTAATTTACAATTTCATTTTACACCGTTTGGTGTGATTATATAAGCAGTACAATATATTAATATTCTTATTGAAAATTATACAATTTAAATTTATAGGTAAGCAAATTTTGTTATTAATAACTTCATTATAAAATTTATCTGTGCTTTGACTATTTAATGAACAACCAAGTAGAATATGTGTTAAGTCTCCAAGTTCCCCACATAAACATGAGGAATCATCAATTAAACCAATTTTACATTTATAGCTTGGTGACATTGCATGATTTGCTCTTATTCTGTTTAAAGTAATAATAAAGTTCCTGTTGTTTTCGTTGTAGAACCATCTTATTATTGGGATTTGGACTTGACATGATTTATAATTTAATCCTATTTGTTTGCTGTCATATAGTTCTTGCCATTTAGCCTTAAGTTGAACTTTAAGTGTGGAATTCAAATCTGTATATGGAATACACTGGTTAATAGAATCTCTGTGTAAGTCTGAGGCGGATTTTGCAAACTTATCAGCAATTTCGTTTCCTTGAATACCCGAATGCCCTTTGATCCAAACTATTAGCACCTCCCGTTGCGAGCTAAGTATTTCGTGATTGGTCTGTAGTATTTCTACTTCTAGATGACTTAAGTTCTTGGCCGCACTTATATTTTTTAGTCTCTCTATGACACTTTTGCAATCTGTAAATATAATACTTTTGAGTCTATACGTCCTAAGTATATATTTTAGAGCTTCACTTATTGCAAACATTTCTGCTGTATATATCGTTGCCTCATCTGGTAATCTGAACTCTTCATGATATTTTGAGGTGTGATCGTAAAAAGTGGCACCTGTACGAATTTGTTTTGATCCATCGGTGTAAATCTGATAATAGTCAGGCCATCGTTGATTAACCGTTTCGAGGAAGTGGTCGTTTTTGTCAATCTGAAACGTCTTAATTTTTTTAGAGAAAAGGACATGCGAATGTTCTGAAAATATTGGTTGGATTTTTGATGTGTACAGTACCGACCTGAATTGGGAAAGAGTGGTATAACTTTCACAAATTAGCGGAGTTTTCTTTTTTAGCCAATAAGACTGTGTGAGTACTGAAATTGACAGTTCATGGATAGGAATTATATAACTTGCGGATTTAGCAAATGCTTTTGTGATAAACTTGTTACTAATTAGTTGCCTTCTTAGTTGTAACGGTGGTTCTACAGCTTCTGCTTCCATAATATTTATTGGGGTTGACTTGAGATATCCAAGACATATTCTTAGACTTTTGTTTTTTTGGGTTTCTATTTTGTCTAAATGAATTTGTGCCGCTGATCCATACAAATGACTACCATAATCCAGGATTGATCTTATCATGGTTCTATAAAATAACAAGGCGATATTTGGGTCAGCCCCCCATTTTGTATAACAAAAGGCTCTCAGTATGTTAATAGCATTTTCAGACTTTTTTGTTATTTGATGGATACAATCTTTCCATAACAGTTTCCGGTCAAGATATAATCCTAAGTATCTCACAACATTTTTTATTTGAAAATTATAAGGTCCCAGTTTTACATGATCCTGTTCAATGTTTCGTCTTCGGCTAAATAGACACACCTCTGTTTTGTGTTCAGAAAGTGTAAAATAATTTTCATTCAGCCACTCGTTGAAGATGTCATAAGTTTTATTTAATTCATATTCACAAGTTTCAAAGTTTTTTCTTGTACAATAAAAAACAATATCATCTACAAATTGTATTGTTCTTATATTATGAAGTTTAACACTGACATCCATTGTATATAATAAAAACAAAACTGGACTTAAAATACTGCCTTGGGGGAGTCATAGGTTCGTAGTTCTAGGTCTAGTGGTTACTTGATTTATTTTTATATGGATTTTCCTGTTTGTGTACAACGAAGTTATAAAGTTCGCTAATTGCGTATTAAATCCAATCAAAATCAATTTATTGGTTAAAACATCTAGGTTAACGTTATCAAATGCACCTGTAATATCGTTGAAACCTGCCATAGTCATGAGGTTACTAGTAAATCCAGATAGAATATCTGTTACAATTACTGTTAATGCTTCCTATGTTGACCTTCTTCTACTTCTTACTTTGGAACTGACGAAATTTGAGAGATTCCATACTGAAAATCTACGTATATCCTTTGAAATTTATGAACCGTCAACACGGGTACTCATTTAGCATCGGCCCGTTATCTGTTGAAAAAACGTTCGTTAACAAGAGCTCTTATGAACAGCAATCACATTACGAGGAATCCAACGAACGGTCATGCAAAATTGTTTGTATTTGATTCATGCCTATGCCCAATGATGCACAAATCTCATGATAGGTAACACGTCAACCTCCTTCAATCACGCCGCGCACAGCAATTTTCCAGGTGCAACAGCTGTGGCCGGACGGCCTTCACGGAATTCGTCACTGAGGCTGATATGTCCACGCTTAAACTTAAACTTTGCTGTTCATCGTCAGGTCTCCGAAAACGTTAACTAAATGCTAAAAATACAAATTGTTACTATTTTTAAACCTTATTAAAATAAAAAACATGTATTACTTACATCTTAAATGCTTAAGTTGTATAATATACTATAATAAGACTTGCATTTTAGGTTCCTCGCCTTACAAATGTGAACACTGCAAAAAGGTCTTTTCCTCGAAGTTCAAATTGGTCAGGCACGCTCTCATACATTCTGATCGCAAACCATTTAGCTGTACGGTATGTGACCGCACGTTCCATCGCAAAGATCACCTCAAGAACCATATCAAAGTGCACAGTCCTCAAAAAGACATCCATATTTGTGATTCATGCAAGAAACAGTACACGTCGCTGCTTAGTTACAGGTATTGAAAAATTTCTTTTGAATAATACGATTTTGCCACTGAATCTTCATCGTGCAGAATCTTTACATCGGTGGTTATTGCAAATTTATTGATTTTGATTGATTTTTTTACGTTTTATGTGATTAAAAAATAAGATTCAGATTAGATAAGTCCAATTTTAAGCCGCCACCTTCTCCACTCCACCCTACCTCCAAAAACATCATTTTTTTTTTTATTTCGGTAGCTTGTGAAAAATTCAAAAAATTCACACGCATAACTGTGGCTTTGACAAAACATGTCTCTTTTTTACAGACCCATATGTTGAGTGTGCATAACCTAAAAATGCTTTTTTTGGAGATAACGGCCTAATTTTCTATTTTGTGTTTTTAATAAAAAACCTAATAGACTTCAAAATAGTTCAAATCAAGGTTTCTTATAGGTTATATATAATTTGAAGTAACTGAGCCTTTTAGGGCATTTAAAAATTGTTTAAAAAAAACATATTTTTATGGGCTTTTACGAGTTTTGGTCGGGTCAATCATATTTTTTTAGATCAATACAAGCTGAATCAATGCATCTTCAATTCCTGTTCAAAATATATATGAAAAAGAAAATGTTCCGGCATCAAATTAGCAAGCACAACCATCGTTTATACGAAAAATCCGGTTTTAAAGGGATATTTGGAGGTTTTTACTGAATTTACCCAATGTCTGTTAAATTTCTACATCTAACATGTGACGTGATTTTACAATCCAGTAAAATCCCCAAAAACACTTAAAAACCGAGTTAGTCGCATGTTTCAAGAAATTTCTAGCTTCTCTGAATATGGGAAATAGATCGTTTCTTGTTATTTTATAAAATTTTTGAAAACATGTCAAATGAACCATAAACGATGCTAATATTTGCTTCTTTGAGGCCTAAAAATATTATTATATATATAATTATATATTTATATATATATATATATATATATATATATATATATGTATATATATATATATATATATATATATATATATATATATATATATATGTATATATATATATATATATATATATATATATATATATATACATTTAATGAATTGGAGACGCATTGAATCAGGTTGTATCGATCTCAAATAATATGATTAACCCTGCAACAACCTTAATAACGGTTGAAAAAACATGGTTTTGTAATTTTGCCCAACTTTTGAATAACCTAAAGGAGTCAGTTACTTCAAATTACATGTAACCTATAAAAACCGTTGATCTGATATATTTTGAAGCGTATACAATGGGGAAATCCCCAAAAACTCACTTTTCCGACTTTCTGAAGGTGTAACACCTGACGGAAAAATTTGGAAAAAAAACAAAAATATATTTTTTCATTAAATACCCAAAATAAAAAAAATTCCTGCAGCCATTTCAAAAAAAAAAAAGTTTACGATTTTGTCAAAAAAAATGAATGAATATAAAAAGTTTTGGAAAAGTCTCAACGATGCGTGTGAATTTTTTGAAATTTTTAAATTGATTGTAACCCACCGAAAAAAAAAAAAATTAAATTGAAAAATGACGTTTTCTGGGTAAAGGTACAGTGGCGGTAGAGTGGCGGGTTAAAATTGCACTAAGTCTTATTTTTTAATCACATATACTAACGTAAAAAAAATTAAAATATTGATTCAGGTTGTATCAATTTCAGAAGATATGAATGACCCCTCAAAACTCGTAAAAACCTTGAAAAAGATGGTCTTTTGGGTGTTTAAAGACGTTTCGTTTAATTTTTGAATGTCTTAAAAGACTCAGTTACTTCAAATTATATTTTTTTAGACTTTTTGTTTACATAAAACATAAAAATTATCAAAATATATGATTAACCTCGCACAAAAAACTGAAAAACATGTTTTTTGGGGGCTTAAAGGTGTTTGGCCCGAGTTTTGAATGTCCTAAAGGACCCAATTACTTCAAACTATATATAACCTATAAAAAAATATTTAAAAACTGCACTGAGACATTTTATTCATCTAAAACATAAAAAATTGTCAAAAACATGATTAACCTCGCAAAAACCATGAAAAATATGGTTTTTTGGGAGTTTTAAGGTGTTTCGCCTAAATTTTCAATGTCCTAAAGGAGCTAATTACTTCAAACTGTATATAACCTATAAAAACATTTAAAAAATTGGACTGAGACTTTTTATTTATGCAAAACATAAAAAATTATCAAAATATATTGTTAATCCCGCAAAAACCCTGAAAACATGGTTTTTTGGGGGTTTAAAAGTGTTTCGCCCAAGTTTCGAATGTCCTAAAGGACCCAATTACTTCAAACTATATATAACCCGTAAAAAAATAATTAAAAAATTGCAGTGCGACATTTTATTTATATAAAACATAAAAAAGTGGTCAAAAATGTGATTAACCCCGCAAAAGCCACGAAAAACATGTTTTTTGGGGTTTAAAGGCGTTTTGCCCAATTTTTGAATGTCCTAAGGCCTACAGGATTCTATTACTTCAAACTATATATAACCTATAAAAAAACATTAAAGAAATTGCACTCAGACTTTCTATTCATATAAAACATAAAAAATTGTCAAAATATTATTAACCCCGAAAAGCCTGAAAAACTTGGTTTTTGGGGAAGGTGTTTCGCCCAAGTTTTGAATGTTCTAAAGGACCCAATTACTTCAAACTATATATAACCTATAAAAAAATATTTAAAAACTGCACTGAGACATTTTATTCATCTAAAACATAAAAAATTGTCAAAAACATGATTAACTCCGCAAAAACCATGAAAAACATGGTTTTTTTTTTGGAGTTTTAAGGTGTTTCGCCTAAATTTTGAATGTCCTAAAGGAGCTAATTACTTCAAACTATATATAACCTATAAAAACATTTAAAAAATTGCACTGAGACTTTTTATTTATCTAAAACATAAAAAATTATCAAAATATATTGTTAATCCCGCAAAAACCCTGAAAAACTTGGTTTTTGGGGGTTTAAAGGTGTTTCGCCCAAGTTTTGAATGTCCTAAAGGACTCAATTACTTCAAACTATATATAACCCGTAAAAAAATATTTAAAAAATTGCAGTGCGACATTTTATTTATATAAAACATAAAAAAAATGGTCAGAAATGTGATTAACCCCGCAAAAGCCACGAAAAACATGTTTTTTGGGGTTTAAAGGTGTTTTGCCCAATTTTTGAATGTCCTAAGGCCTAAAGGACCCTATTACTTCAAACTATATATAACCTTTAAAAAAACATTAAAGAAATTGCACTGAGACTTTCTATTCATATAAAACATAAAAAATTGTCAAAATATTATTAACCCTGAAAAGCCTGAAAAACTTGGTTTTTGGGGAAGGTGTTTCGCCCAAGTTCTGAATGTCCTAAAGGACCCAATTACTTCAAACTATATATAACCCGTAAAAAAATAATTAAAAAGTTGCAGTGCGACATTTTATTTATATAAAACATAAAAAAATGGTCGAAAAAGGGGTTAAATCCCGCAAAAGCCACGAAAAACATGTTTTTTGGGGTTTAAAGGTGTTTTGACAAATTTTGAATGTCCTAAGGCCTAAAGGACCCTATTACTTCAAACTATATATAACCTATAAAAAACATTAAAGAAATTGCACTGAGACTTTCTATTCATATAAAACATAAACAATTGTCAAAATATTATTAACCCCGAAAAACCCTGAAAAACTTGGTTTTTGGGGAAGGTGTTTCGCCCAAGTTTTGAATGTCCTAAAGGACCCAATTACTTCAAACTATATATAACCCTTAAAAAACCATTTAAAAAATTGCACTGGGTCTTTTTATTCATAACATAAAAAATTGCCAAAAATATTATTAACCACGTAAAAACCCTGAAAAACATGGTTTTTTGGGGGTTTATAGTTTGGAGGTTTCGCCCAATTTTTGAATGTCCTAAAGGACTCAATTACTTTAAACTATATATGACCCATAAAAAACCCTGGTATAGTCTATAAACTGGAGAAAATCATCAAAAAACCCTATTTAACTCTTACCTTAACTTATCTGAACTCGAAAATAAGTGTTTTAAATTTTGTAATTTAATAACAAATCTTTCTAGGAAACACCTCGCTTTACATGCTGCCGAAGAAGGAAACTTAACTTGTCAAATTTGTAATGATACGTTCGACAGCAAAGAGAAAATTTTATACCATCTGAAAATCCACGCCGGTAGTCGGACTGTCAAAAACCCCAACGACAAAAAGTTCAAATGCGATCAATGCGATAGTAAGTTTTTTACAAGGAAGGATGTTCGGAGGCACAGTGTTGTACATACAGGTAAGCTTTGAGTAAATATTGACACAGGAATATAAAATATATCGTAGAGAATTGTCTTAAATTAACCAAATAGAACAGTAAATAAAATATATATTAGTTTGAGTCTAGATTTTCTTTTCATATAAAAATATATCTTCTCAGGTAAGCGAGATTTCTTGTGCCAGTACTGCCCGCAACGTTTCGGTCGCAAAGATCATTTAGTCAGACACATAAAAAAATCACACAACGACAAATACAAAGCCGAGGAGACTATTACCAGTATAACTATAAAAACCGAACCGAAGGAAATTCTGCTGGCTTCGGATGTTTCCGTTAAATCCGAGTATTCCGAGAGTAGTCTTTCGAACGCTCCAGAAACTTTTGCAACTGTCGATTCGAGTTTGCCGCTCATTGAAGGTGACCTAACTCCGTTCTTAGGTAAGTGAAAAGCGCTTATCATTTTTTTTAATTTCAAATACGAATGCTTATTTTTTTATTTATTTAATTTGGGAAGTTAATTTTTTGTGACCTTTGCTTTCTGTGAAATTTAGACATGTCTTAGTGTTGTTTTTGCTAGTTTTTATGTTTGCTTAAATTGTTATTTGTATTAAACCGTTACTAGTCTTTTTGTTACGTAATCCGATATTTTTATTATTGCTACTTCCATAACGTTTTACTGATTCTTTAGGGTGAAGTGGGGTATTTGTGAATGTAATATAACGTTTTATTTTGCAGTCACATACGAAGTTAGCCAAGTTCCAAACCCATTTCTTTTTTTAGATATGTTTTAGTAGTATGTATCTTCATTAGAATTTTAAAAATGAATAGAGCGAGACGTGTACTCAAACTCTTTCGCCTGTAAGACCCATCTATCCTTTAATTTAAGTCCTCAGTTATTCTTTATAGTTTATTTTTATGAACGAGAGAGTAATTAGCATAATTTTAACTGGTATCTCCGACCACTCCATGGGCGTGCTCAAGATTAATTGAAAAATTACTTTGAATAATTGTAAAAAATAAATGAATTATTTCAGTGTTATAAAGTGTTATGTGTATGTAAACAAAAGTGACCTCTTTTATCACACACTATATTAGAACTGACTGGCCTACATTAAAAAGGGTTTTAAAAAATTCACATTTTTTTTAATTTTTAAAAATTACAAAAGCGAAAAAGAGTTTTTAAAACCGTCTAAGGTATGTTAAATAGATGAATAAAAATATTAATATAAAACTTACAGCTACTTGTTACAAATCCAAATCAAATTCAGGAGATGAACTTTCAGAACCAAGATTTATAATAACTAGCTCGATCATTTTATCAGTAATATTGTCCAGCTTCCACATTTTTTCCTCTTCTTTAATAGTGTGATTTACTGCCTTTTCTCAGTTTTCATGTTTTACATTATTTACGGCCTCCAAAAACAACTGTTTAACATCATGAATTTTAAAAGTGGTATTTTTTCTTGAAACTTCACTCTTTATCTGTGCCCATACCAGTTCAATTGGGTTTAATTCACAATGATATGGTGGGGATCTAAGTACTGTCATTCCACGATTTTTGGCAATTTCATCAATTTCGTATTTTTTAAATTTTTCTTTATGAAGGGCACACAACGAATAAAGTTCCTTTCTTATAGATCCGGGATGGTACGTAATATTTTTTGAACTCAGCCAATTCTGCAAGTCTTTTTTTAACCACTTGGTTGTGGGCAGTCCTTCTATAAGTCTGGAGTGATAACTTGCATTATCCATTACTATTACACAGTTCTTAGGAAGAAGATCTATCATTTGTTCGAACCATTCTTGAAAGACATCAGCGTTCATGTCTTCATGGTAGTCACCGGTACGAGTTGATTCAAAAGTTAATAAACCACCTTCAACAAAGCCGTCTGAACTGCCAATGTGTACTATTATCAGCCTGCGTCCCTTTCCTGATGGTGGGTTTAAACCAGTAGATAAGTTATTTACAAAAGCGTGCCTTTGATTTGTAACAGTTTCATCCTGCCAAAATTTATTTGGTGTATAACCCTCGTTGATCCATGTTTCATCAAGATAAAATATTTTTCTTTTTTGGTTTCTCATTTCCTTTATGGTTCTTAGAAAATGTCTTCTCCATATGACAATATCGCTTCTTTCTAATAAAATAGACTTTCTGGGATTCTTTTTCCAGCGGAAGCCTATTTCTTTTAAAAGTTTCCATAACGTACTTCGACTCATTTCTGGGTAATCCTTATCATCTCGAACTGAAACAAGAACTTTAGCCAATGTTGGAAATTCTTGTCTAAAGAAGAATTCATGCACTTTCCGTCGAAGTCCTTCTTTAAAATGATATTCTATTTGAAATTTTGGTTTCCCTGGAGCATTACGTGGCATTTGAAAACTACCACATTTCTTTTCTTTAATAACTCTGTAAATCGTAGATTTCCCAACACCAAGTGTACTGCTAACTAACTCAACGGTCTCATCAACACTTTCACATAAACGTTTGTCTGTAAATGATTTAAAACAATTAAATATTAATGTTTTTTTCATTAACTGTTAAAGGACTAATTTTTCGGCGTTTACACGGCACTTCCAAATTTTCCATAACACTAGTATACACAATAAACTGCACCTTGCAACTGAAGTACCTACTTTTAGTGAACTGTTAAGAATTTTGAATACGCCACTTGGACCTTCCTACAAAATGGAAAAAACCACTATCACATTTTCTGTGGAATAAGTTTAGAAGGTAATTATCTAGTCAATTATCTAGTCAAATAGGTAGGTACTTATTAAACTTTTATTGGTTATATATAACCAATAAAATAAACATCTTACATTTCTTGCAAATTCATTCGTACCTGTTAACCTCCATCACTCCGACACTGGCAACCTTATTTAGGGATTAGTAACCCTCACAACTATTGTATTCTATTCTGCTCCAACCTTTATACCTGGTGGTCATACTCAATTTAAAATTGTTTTCCTATATACTTCTGTAAACTTGTTGACAAATATCTGTTTTTCATTGAGTCGCCCGTATCAACAGTTTAGGGATTTGCATACATAATTTATTGTTTTATTACTCTCTCATACATAAACTAAAAAAGATACACTATAAATACATACAATTAAAACAAGAAAATTGGAATATCTCGGACATATTACATGTGGAGAGAAATACACATTGCTCCAACTGATTATGCAGGGAAAGATCCAAGGAAAGCAAAGCATAGGGTGGCGTAGAATGTCATGGCTGCGCAACCTGAGAGAGTGGTACGAATGTACATCAAAATACTTTTTAGACCAGCCGTCTCAACAGTCCGAATAGCTATGATGATGGCCGACCTCGGCCGCGAACATGACACTTGAAGAAGAAAATTTGAAATAGAGAGACTTATACTTTAAGATGTTATGCGTATTATTGAAGGATAGAGAAAATTAACGGGTCTACATAACCTCCAAAAATGGCCAAAAACCGTTATTTTTGCACTTTTAGGTTAGAATATCTCAGAAACTAGAGTAAATTTGGCAATTTGTCTGTCTAATCATTCGCTCTCATTTCTGCATCAATAATTGCATGCAGAAAAGTTCCTCTCGTGTTCGTAAACCATTTTTGAAACTGTCCCGTTTCGGAGATTTCCATGTATGTAACCGTCTGGGTGTTAGATCATAGGTATGTATGAATTGTTAATTACCAGTTCTTCTTCCTGACAAAGTTGTACTAACATATCTCCTTGTTCATTCCTTTCTCCCAAGCCAAAAGATCCAGTGACTTCTTCTACTGCTTTTTTCATACCTTGGTGTTAATCACCAATAATCATTTTTATTTCATTAGATTTTATTGATTTTATGGCATTCTGTAGTTGTTCATAGAACTAGTTCAACTTCTGTGTCTAGTTTGTCTGCTGTAGGAGCGTACACTTGAAGTATATTTACGTTTATGAGTTTGCATTTCAAGCCTTATCAATATGATTATTTCGGATATAGGCACGACGTGTTTGAGGTATTTCATTTAAGAGGATACCTACTCCATGTCTATGTTGAGGATCATGTGTGTCAGTTCCAGAATAGTACTTTAACTGCATTAGCGAGATTTCCTGCAGCAAATAGCTTTCTTACATTCCTTGTTGCTATTCTATTTATTAATTTCACTGTGAAAGGGCCAATTGTCTAGCTTTTCTTGTCATGGTAAAATTATAGTGGACAGCAATGATTGTTCTGGGGAAATAAAAACTTTATTGTCTACCAGGGAGACCAGGTAACAAGTTACCACTCGTGAGGTTGACATTTGAGTAGTATTTGAGACGCATCGTATTGTATTAACTCCCCAAATTTACTATCAGAGATTAAACAAATTTGTACTGTAAACTTTATATTTGACCACTGTAACGAAATTTTAATTGATGCCACAGTTACCCCAAACCACATTCAACCCATTTCACCCTACTGAATCAAAATGAAAATTTATGATTATTGTGCCACAAGTGATTCTATACCAAAAACAAAAATATTTTAGATTTATTACAGATAGCAACTGCAACGCCATATTCAGTTTGTACACACACCAAACTCGGTAAGAGTGTTTATCTGTCTTAGTTCTAATTGAAGTACTTTCGGATCCTTAATAATGTTTTTTTTTAACAAAATTTCTAGAGATAGAAAGTGGACACCTATTACCGGGCGAACCTGAATTGAAAGACTTCGGAAGCGCCATTTTGGAGGACATCGAAAGTACCCCTCGACCTCTGGGATTCTGACCACCGAAAATTTAGATGCTAGTCAAGATGTTTTGGACGAGGTCGTATTGAACAATCCCGAATTGTTGTTGCTGGAATCAGACGGCGACACAAATTTACCTTTGCCTGGATTTAGTCAGACGTTTCAGCCACCCCCTGCTCCAGGCCCCCCTCCCCAGTAAATATTATGAGGCGAAAATTTTCGGACTTTTCTCAATGCTAGTGTGGGTTTTTTTACCGGTATCGTATTAGTTTTTTAGATGTATTTTTTATCTTTTTATTGTCTATTATCAAAAGAAAAGTATGACAAGTATATTTGAGAGATAAATTTATGTAAATGTAGAAACACAAATAATTCATTGCATGTATTTTAAAATTATTCTTTTTGTTTTTGACATCTCTTATATCTTATAAAAGGGTATAATAAGTTTTTTCCTGGGTTGTCTAATTATTTAATTCTAATGTTATTTTGTCAAACTGCTCACGAATCTTTCCTAGTGACTATGAAATACATGAAAACATTTTTTTACCCTTGGAAGTTTTGGATTTTTAAAACCACCGTTTTAGACCTTTCATTCTTGCTTCTTTTAAGTTCTTGGCTCAAAAAATCATATTGCAATGCGTTTTTATTATCTTTTCATTGATTTACAAGCTTTATTTTACAGTTATTTTAACACTATTTTTGATTTATTTGTACCAACACTAAGACGCAACTACATATAACCCATCAAAGTCTTTTTTTGTTAAACTGGTGGTTTTTTACCAAGTTTAGTTTGGGAAAAATACAATTAAGCAGAAAAACCTATTAAATTTTATTTCTTTATCGAATATATCACATTAAAAACTGTGACCATGTGGCAACACTAGTTTGGACATAGTTTTTTTATCGACAAGTGAAATATCTTGTGGTACTCTGTTCTCTCTTATTGTTCCTGTGACACCATATCCTTTTTCTTTTAAATACACCATTAAATTGAATCCAGTAAAAAGGCTATTTACATAGATTTGGTAAGGCAGCGTTGGTTGTGGCAAAGTTTCCAACATCGAGACAAGGGGAGCTATCTATCAAGGGAATTGTACTTTTCCCTTGATAGATCTCAAAATTTACAAGGTAACTAGTTTCGGAGTTACGTCACCATATTTTATAACCGAATCTTATCGGTTTTCTCCTAATGAAATGTTTTCAATTATGGCGACCAAAATATTTCACCATCGACTCATCATAATTCATATTTTCAGTTGGTTGATAATATTTGAGAAAAGAACTCTGTAATTTTTTGAGTACTCGACTCAATTTCCACATTTTATCTCATTTAAATCCATTTGCCTATTGTCAGCATAGTGCATGAAACGCATTATTTGGATAAACCTGTCGCAACGCATTGCATCCTTCACCATTTTATTGGAAATGTCTGCTCCATTATCCCAATAAAACCTTTCTTCAGGAAGACAGTTGTATCCAGAAAAACAACTCAAATAAATTTATAGGGCTCATATTTTTAAATTGTGAGTAGTCTGCTTTGGGAAAATCGGATGTTTTTACAAAATCACCATCGATCCAAGTTCTTTTAGTATACTTTTTTCTCTTTAGTGATTTCAACAAACTAGTATTAGATTCTGTATCAAATAATGACATACTTATGTGTTTTCCATCTTATTAAAAACACTATTGTTTTTTGGTGTACCATCAAAATATCCCAGCTCGGCTTCTTCAATAATTGTCTTCGGGGCAGCTTATCTACAAATCCACCATTATAATCGTAAGCTGAATCTCATCAGTCAAAACATTTGGATCAGGTGGACTTATATATATGGCGGTTAGATCATTGTCATAATTATAAATCCAGGGCTTCCTTCAGCGTCAAACCTCTCTTGTAAATAAAAAAATAATTAGATCTCTTATTAGCCTAGTGTGACCATTTGGTAACAGTGTGATTCAGTCTGATGTAAATTGTATTTTAATGGGAGAGGTTGCCTGTAATATTTTTTATTATAACCTACTTCCTTAACTATATCAACAATTATTTAAATTGTCGGAAAGTCTTAATAGTAAACTAATAAAACTACTTACTCAAATCTCTGTTCCATAATTTGCACATTGGTTAATACGCATGAATTCAAAAAGCTATACTATTCGTTCCTTCCAGACTGTTGAATAATACAGTAACAATTTGAATACACTGACATCTAGTAACGAAAAGTTGAGCTGCGGATAGATTTCTAGCGTTAAGTTTGCGTAACCAAGTGGTCACACAAGGCTTTGATGGGTTAATATGACATTAACATAATAGGCCAAGGGCTGGCGTAACACTATGGTGATATGGAGTAGCAAATATGCCTCAAAAGTTTTAAAAAATATTGAGTTATCGGTAAAATGTATATTACATGGAATAAACTGATTTTTATGTACTCCGCTGGACATCACAGGAAAAAGCTTAAAATTTAAAAGTTTAAATCATTAAATATAGTACTTACAATAACCTTCACTGCCACAAAAAGACATTATAGAATTATTACGTCCTTTTAAATATGTATTACAATATGCAATCTTCCTAATATGTTCACTTTAAATAAATATAAGCAAAGTGTGTTCTTGTATTTCGATATATTTACTACATTCAGTATAAACAAAACACTTGACACTGGTATTGAGGAAAGTCCACCCTTAGGTTAACATTCTACCCTTATTATTTATAATCTGTTCAAAATGTTAATTTTATGTTTGTCGGAAGGTTGGCCTTTGTTTGAACTTTAGAATAAGGTTACCATAAAAACGTACAAAATACAAATTTAAAAAAAGTACTATTTTAGGAGAGACATTACCAAAAATGTAAAAAACATGCTTTTTATTTATTTAGTTAGATATTAAGATGACGAATTTATACCTATTAGTTGTAGTACTCAACTATTTTTATGCGAGTTTAATAAAATATTGGAAGATGGATGTTTGAAGGGAAAAATCAACGTACCTGGTAAGCTATTTCATTGAAAAGCTAATATGTAAGCAATATTCTGTGTGATGAATTCCTGTTAAATCCTTAACTCACGAGGGTGAAAATTATTAATATTTTTAAATAAATTTCACGTGCCTACCAAGTAAAAGCTCATAAGACATTTTTATTTTCTTCTAAATGCAAGTACTACGTTCCACGTTTAGAAAATAACATTGCGGAGATAGGACCATGTATTTCTTATGGACGATAGAAACGCGGCGTTGCCACGACACACACAAGCACAATTTAGAGTTGTATAATTTGTATTTTCGTTTCCACAAACACGAATTAAATTAATGTTTTTTAACGTAATTGACCAAAAGTGCCCATTCGAAACAAAAGATGAAAAGTAGAGAAAATGATTTTAATTAGATAAATAGTATTTACAAAAGATTATTTTATTTTATCTTATTTTAATTATAGTAGCGACAGTTTATTTGTTTTTCGGTGAGAATACGATATGCCATGAATCATAGAAATCAGTAGAAAATATTGACCGCTTGGAATGCGTTTATCTAATTACTAATTGCAACTTAAAATAATACGATGTGCGTATGTCAGCTATTTAATGTCGTTCTCTGTCTACATAATGATAATAAGGCTTTTATTTAGTAATTATTCTGATTTTACAGTTAAATGTTAATTGAAAATTAAAATTCAAAAATTAAGCAAAGGGAATATCTTGGACATCCGTGCAAAAGAGAGTGTCTGAGAGTTTTGGCAACACTGATCTCCATAAGCGTAATGTTATTTTCTTAACTTGAAACAAAGATTAGCATCAATCTTCATATGTCAATGATCACATTAAATAATTAATCCAAAAGCCTCTACTTCCTCTATAAGCAGAGTATAAACCTACTATTTTTTTTGTATTTCTACCGCGCCAAACCTTTTTTATTCCTTTTTATACATATTTTTTAATCGTTCTCAAAATACAAACAGTAAATTCATTTTGAGAACGATTTCCGAAGTGGAAATTGAAACGTCAATAAACGTATTTTAACCTTTAATTGTGGCTTATTCCCAGTTAAATAGTAATTAATTTAAAATGCCACAAGAAAATAGCTTCAGAACAAAATTTTTTAGTATTCGACTAAATTATATTATATTCTAGGAGATGGCGTTACTGTTGGACTAGGTTAGATTTCCTTTTCGTAAAATATTAGTATTTCCTTCACATTTTAGCTAAGCCAATCTTTCCTTAAACAATAAATTAGTGCTAAATAAATTTACGAAATGTTGAGGAAATTTTAATATTCCGTGGAAAAGAGATACACCTAACCTAACCAAACAGTGGTGCCATCTATCAGAAAATAAAATCGGAGCAATGCTAGTCTTTATATGAGTACATAGGCTTTCTATTTACAATCGTATTTAAATATTGTTTTTTCAAACACAGTCAATCCTTACAAAGAGAACTTAGGTTAGTTAAGACCATTTTGATGTGTTTATACTTTGTGGTATTTACTATTTTTACTTATCCTGTTTGATTTTACAAAAAAAGATTAAATAAATGTGAACTGTTCAACGTTTAGGTAAATCAGATTGGTTATTGTTTAGAATACTTCTCTATGAGATTTTAAATATAAAACTTCTCAATTTCAAGTAACTTTAGCTGTAACTTCTTCAGCTCTTTATGTTACTTCGTCACTGATTAAAGTTTCGTTTTAAACTTTTCCCATTTTACTTTAAAAATGTGCGTTGCGTTGGTAAACGACTGGTAAAAAATCTAGTTTATGATTAACACTTATTTCTTAAAATGTTCCAATATTTTATAAAACTCGATATAAACCTACATGACTTAATACTTTAAAAAACAAAGGCCAATATGTAACTTCTTTAATAATGAGATTTATTTCGAAAATTAATATTTGATCTGAAATGTGAAATTGAAAAAAAAAGATAACAAAAACTATCACAGTTGGAAGATTATTTTCTGTTGGAAGTCTCATTTTTATATTTAACTAATTAGTACGAGAAAAAGAGCAATATTTTTATAGTAGTGTGACACTAAATTTGTTGTTTATTGTAAAATGTCACAATGTTAACCGTATTTTTTATTAACTTTGTACATTTCTGATTTTTATCTATGTACAGTGTCGTTTATTCAAGTTTGGTAGCAATGAATAATTTCTATATTTTTAGCATGTTTTACGGCGACATTAAAGTTACAGTACTGCTTAAGTCCG